CACACATGATCTCTCTCTCTCGCTCTCTCTCGGACTCTCCGCGTGAGAACGGGGGCCACACTGGGTAGGAGGAGAGCAAATGGAACTCGTTGGGCTCTTGACCAGTAAAGGGGGGGGAATGAGCCACGGTGAAAGTCAACGACCGGGATCGGTATTGTCGCCGGTCGGGAACCCCTATCAGCAGTCTCTACGACGTCATGCAACTCTGCTTACTCCCGTCTTCCCCCGAATAGAACGCACACCGGCCATGAATGTATACAAGTTATTTTCGGGGTCCGATACACTCATGACGAGGGTGCGTTATGTTCGGGGAAAGACTCCATTGGTATGGAAATCGAACCTCGATCGAACGTCGGTTCCAACCCGCTCCGCAGATGTTCATTTTGTTCCACCCTCCTTCTCAATATTCATTACAATCAAAGTAAAAAAAAAAAAAAGGATTTTTTTATTTAACCACTCTTCCTCCAACATTACGATTCGCAATTTCTGGCCGTTAAAAATAATAAAATCGGAGTTATTTTAATTTTTAACTAACGTCCCAGATGTCGTTCAAAAAACAATAAAATCGGAGTTATTTTAATTTTCAACTAACGTCCCAGATGTCGTTCAAAAAATAATAAAATCGGAGTTATTTTAATTTTTAATTAACGTCCCAGATGTCGTTCAAAAAATAATAAAATCGGAGTTATATTCAGTTTTACCGAACGTTTTCGACGCGACTAATCTTCCTCCACACTCTCGATTTCCGATTTCGTTCAAAAATTTAAAAACTCGAGTACTAAATCAGTAATTTATATCCATTAGTAATTAAAATCTCCCTCCAATTAGTAATTAAAATCTTCCTCCAATTAGTAATTAATCTTCCTCCAATTAGTAATTAAAATATTCCTCCGATTAGTAATTAATATTCCTACCGAACGTTTTTCTTCCTCCACACTCTCGATTTCCGATTTCGTTCAAAAATTAAAAAACTCGAGTACTAAGTAATTTATATCCATAATCCATTAGTAATTAAAATCTTCCTCCAATTAGTAATTAATCTTCCACCACATGAAACGTTAGAAAAAAAAATCAATTGATAGATAATTTTTCAGAGACGCGAAACAGACAGCGAAGGAGATTCTGGAACAAAAGAGATTTAAAATCCAAAAAAACAGAAGAAAAAAAAATTAAAAGGAAATCAAAGTCAAAGACCAAGTAAGATCAGAGACATAAGACAGCAATTAACACCCGAGAGAGGGAGAGAACGAGAGAGACAGAGAGAACGAGAGAGAGGGAGATAAGGGAGAGAGGGAGAGAGAGGGAGAGAAGGGAGAGAGAGGGAGAGAAGGGAGAGAGAGAGACCGAGACGGAGAGAGAGAGGAAGAGAGAGAGAGAGAGGGAGAGGGAGATGGAGCGAGAGAGAACGAGACGGAGGGCGAGAGAGAGAAAGAGAGAGGGAGAGAGAGATCAGCTGTTCGTACGCACAGTACAAAGAGAACATTCTATCCACCACGGATAAAATCTACGATCATTTTATTTAAGATTATTTCATTAATTGCCAAGTTGTCTCAAGCGTCGTGCATAAACGCGGGCGCTATTCAAAGGTGAGGACGAGGATGGTGGACACAGAGAGCGCTTCCCTCTCGTCTTCCTCTCCTCGTCCTCCTCTTCCTTCTCCTTCCTCCACTTCCTTCTCCTCCTCCTCTTCCTCCACCTCCCTTTTCTCCTTCTAATTACTTAACAGCGATCAGGAGGACGAGATTCAGCTTGTCAGCAGTCTGCCCACTTTCCGCTTCAAGTACGAATGAAGATTGGGTTAAGAAAATAAATCAATAAGAAAATAAATAAATAAAATTTCGATCGAGCGCCAGTTAACGGGGGAACAAATAGATCTGGAATATCCGTCTCCTGACATTTCATAAGCACCCTCTCTC